ATGTGAAACATTGCAACACTTTTGTCCCTTACTGTATATAGTTAATAAAGTCTGATAGATTGATTTACCCCTGTACTCTATATCTTTATTGCTTTATTGACTCATCTATCTTATTGGGTGATTATTTTTACTACTTCAATACTAAAACAGTCTGTTGTTGGACTTAGTAAAGTAGCATCTGAATGTGTTCATAGATTTATAATAGCTATTTATCTAAAGTGCATCCATGGTAAGTCTTAAACTAAATAAGATATTATTATTTTATAATTTTGTTTTATAGACAAGCCATTAGACATAACAAAGCCTAGCTAGATAGTGGATCATCTTTCTAATCTCAGTACAAGTGTTGAGGTTATTTTGGACTTGAGTGCTGCTGTATTTTTTCTAACATACCAATAGCTTTTACCATTATATACTACTACCACAAAAGCCAACCTTATAAGAGGAAAGGAGATAACAAAATATATCTTGCATTGGATTGATGCAAGCATAATAGCTGTAAATGCTTAAGGTAAAGCTATAAATAAACTCTACTTTGATATCTATATCAACTTGGTTATAGGCTTACTGATTCCTTTACATGTGCCACTTATATACAATAGAGAAACTATTCTACTCTAAAGATGAAGCACTACCTCAGGATTTCCATAATGCATATATAGTTATGGGAATATTATTCAAACATTATTGAGCAAATTTCTATATTATTGAGCAAATTTATGATATTATTTGAACATTATTTATATTTATATGTTACATATATGGAAATGCTATTAAGGTCCCTATGGTATATTAAATTTTAATTTACATAACCGACCTTAGCTCAGTTGGAAGAGCGCGAGACTGTAATGGATACAAGTCCGATCAAATCGGACATCTTGAGGTCGCCTGTTCGAACCAGGCAGGTCGGATTTTTGGTAGCCTTCACCCCTCCCCTTTTATCTGATCGCGAAGCCTTTCTTTTTGCCACGGAAGAGCAGATATCCCGTAGATGGAGGAATCAGACACAATGGCCATACCCAGCTACTTTGGAACCCCGACCAGCACGTAGCTGAACTTTAGACCCATTGACAGGAAAATCGAACCAGTAATCCTCAGTGTTTTCCTGCTCCTTCGCCCGCCCCGCCTCCGTAAACATTCATTTTCACGAAAAAACCATGCTCATGACAACATTAGAGATGAGGAAGCATTCCCCATTAGAGGATAAGATAGCGCAGCGAATTATTAATCTAGCTTCCAGTATTTACAGACACCTAAACAGTGATCCTATCAAGGATCATCAAGAAAAAGATTCGCCCTTGCTCTCCCTGCACAGAGCTATTCGTCTACCATTCAGCTCGCCGAATATTTTTCACACCCACCCACCTACTCCCTTAGTGATTGGGGCAGCCACTTGGCATCCGCTTTGGACTGCCAACTTAGCTTACCAATCGCTCAGGCCCCAGCGGATTGATTCCAGCACCTGCGAGGGGGCTTTTCTCGCCGCCCTAGCCAAACCTCCTCTAGACCTCCCCGCATGCTGGATCGCGTGCCCTGGAGACTCGCCCCTCCCAGAGGCCAAGTCCCCAATTCCGCTGGACCCTACGCACCTCAGAAGTCGCACGTTTACCCTAACAAGGTTTAGCCTACCACCTTGAAAGTCACACGACTTCTAGAGATAACCGTATCACCCCGTTCCTGTCATCGCTAGCCTAGAATTCGCACAGCAACATCTTATTCAGTACTAAATCGCGTCCGAAATACAGATCAGATTGCCATTAAGGTATCCAAGATAACCAGGCCTAAGCCCTTGACCCCCTTGTACTTCGCACCTCTGTGGCCTCTTCGACAAGCTTCAACGCATCAAACACAGCACCAAGAGTAATCCACCAGAATGCCTTTGCTCCGAACGTCTCCTTCCTCATCTCAGTGATCGAAAACTTCCAAGCATTCCACGCATATTGTAGATATTCTTTCGCCGGCCTTTCTCCCTCCAGTGCCTCCTTGACTCTCTTGAAGGCATAATCTGTCGCATCCTTGAGCTTTGCGATCTTCTCCTTCCGCAACCCAGGCTGCGACGTCTTTTGTACAATAGTCCCGACAATGAGCTCTTCCTCCGTCAATGGTTTGTAGAACCGATGTGATAGACTATATCTCGATGTGATGCTCCTCAGCTCCTCCGCAAATGACCCGAACGCGGTCGCAATCAGGTCTGACACCCGCGGGCCAATCCTCACATGAGGATTGATAAACGCCACCACGAGCAGCTCGACGTTTTCGAATATGACAGAAGTTGCTGAATTTCCAAGGCCAAGGCCAGAAAAATCGTCGGCGAGACTTTCAACTCGCCCTGCAGCAGTTCGTGCTGCTCCACGACGTGGGCGGGGACGAACTCGTGGAGGTAGCGATGGCTCGTGCGCCTTGAGATCAATTGCTCGTGTGAGTTTCCCCAAGGCCGTCTCGCTCTTGTAATATTTGGTATCCTGATGCGCCATGCCCTCGATAGTCTCGGGGGCATTCCAGTCCGGTCGAGGAAACCTCGCCTTCGGGATATCCTCCAAGGGAACCTGACGACCGGTCTTCTGGTAGTCAACTGCATCGCTGTGCAGCTTGGCGAGGAGGATACAGTCTTTGTTAGTGATATTGCCTTGCTGATCCGCAATGATCAGCCAGTTGGTAGCGACGACACCGAGAACCTGAACGAAAGCCTATTTGAACGAAAGCGTTCATGAGGTGTTGATACTCATACTCACGTCGGATACGATATATTTCATGACAAAATCTGCCACATCCTTCATTGTACAAGGCCATTCGGTGAATTCCTTTTGCGCAGGTAGGTAGTCTGCTGGCGGAAAGGTATGTTTCGGAGCGAAGTAGGGATGATCTTTCAAGGGGATAATATTATACAGATCCCCGTCCAGATCACCACCACCCAAGCATGTAGGAAGCGGGCGTTCTCCTGCCGAGGCATTCAGTAAATTTCCGTCAATTTGTGAATAATCATCTTACCTTGGACGCTAAAGACGACAGTGTTCGGTAATGCTTCTTTCACAAACGGTGAACCCCTTTCCGGTTTTCCGATGGCCATCGCCAACTGAACATCACCAGGATGAATCGTAGGCGATCGTGAAATCAAAACAGGTCCGTCCAAATAAAAGGTCCCCTTCTCGCGGTGCCGGACGCACACAAACACCTCTTGCTTCCTCAAATATCCATGCGTATCCGCAACGCCAACGAGTGTCCACGCGTTAGGGATAGGGATACGCGCACGATGCTTTAGATCACGTAGTACATGATAGATCCCCAATCGCAAGAGCTGATCGAAGAAGGGGTCTTGTGCCAACACCTCCAAGTCAAGTTTCCCGAGGCTGACCATGACGGACGGGAGTTTGAAAGAAAGGCCTAAGCCGTGGGTCTGCAAGAGGTGAGCGGCTGCGGAGAGGCTTCGAGTTGCAGCCTTCGTTTCCCGGACGGCCTGGTCCTGGAAACCTTTGAAAACTTCGTAGGGGACGCCGAGACCTTCAAGAATCATAATTAGGGGCCGATTGAGGTAATACGTGGTGGGCTGATCGATGGCCCGCGAAATTTCAATCTCGGTGGAACCAGGTGCGTCGAATTTAATCATCGAAGGGCGGAGGGAGAGGGCATTGGAGCCGTTCAAAGTATAGTCGACAGAAAGCATGCCCTTCGAGCCTTGAAAACGAATCTGATATGCATGGGGGTATTCGTCCAAATCGCGTTTTCGTCCAATGAGACGCCAGATTTCGCGGGCGAGCTCTTCCGACATACCGCCCGAACCATCGGTGAATACATATTTACCATCTCCGGTCTCGATGTCTTCATCTATCAAAATCTCGTCCACCTCGACGACTGCCGCGTCGGTTGCCGAAAATGCTTGAGAGACACGAGCCCCAAGTCTTGCTGGGCAGAATTCGAGGGTGGTGTCGTAAGAGAGGCCTCGGAAGTTCCCTAAGCTACTAATGATCTTGGCTGCCGTGACGATACCATGCTTGCTGTCGTTGAAAACCTTGACAAACCTAGATAGAAAATGCTCGAATCAATATATACATACGTCATCAAGTCCAGAACTCACCAAACCGAATGTTCTTTAAGCGCTGATTGAGAATATGCGAGAAACCTAAACTTGCGCCCAGCGATGAGGAGTCCTTCATGCATGATCGGCCCAATCCTCCTCTTGATGAACTCCAAGCTATCCACGTCCCTGTCAAATCGAAACTGGAGGTTATTGTCCTCACGAAACTCGACCCTCAAGAAACTGTCCTGATTGGCCCTGTCATACCGACGGATGACGCGATTCGACTTGTCCACAAACGGGCCGGTGAGAAACATCGAAGTTGGCGTCACCATAACATGAAGTGAAGAGTAAAAGTTCGGATCCTCCGGGATATCCGGCTCTATATTCCCCTGCTTGCTGAATTCCTCAGCGAAGGAATCAAAACAAGGCAATATAGTCGTCGTAGAATCCGTATAGAGGAAATCCTTTGCTCGCGGAGCAAATTGCTTGAGAAGCTTGGCGACGTAGGCTCGGCCACGCGAGGCCACCATGGTTTGGACCTTTGGAATAAGGCTCAGGACCTCGGTGGCATCGACGTAGAGGTTCCGAACCAACGCCTCGAGCTGGAACGCAACGGACCATTCGAATTGTCTTATGGCGATGTCCATCATTTGCAGACGACTGGATGAGAACAAGTCGCGACGGGCGACTCGGATGGGGTAGGACTTCAAGAGATTGCGAAGGTTGGCAGCCTCACATATATGTGCAAACGCCTCGGTTCCAGCGGGCGAGCGAAGAATGAGGCGGATTGCGAGTGAAGTGTATGGAATTGCTCCGGGATTGTTGACAACAGGGAACGTCGTCAACCTTTGATATGGCTCCTGCTTCTTCGCGCCTGGAACAGGGATTGGACGTTGAAAGAACCATGGTGGGATTTCCAACTGTAAAAAAATGACTGCACGCTGGGCGCCATCCAGTGACTGGTGCGAAGAGATATTCATGATCGATGACTGTCGGATTGCGATGACATACTCAGACGTATCATTATACGCCTGTTTGACAGAAACATTCAACTCCCTGCGGCGAGGGTCGAAACGAAAGAGCGCGGGCTGCCTCGCCTCCGACTCGATCGAAAATACATCATCTCTACACATCCACCCAAACTGGATAGACTGCAACGAAACAAACATCTGCGAGAGTCCTTCTTCCCGCTGCTCCTGTTCGCGCTCCTTCACCGGGTCGACCCACGGTGAATGCGTGAGCAATTCAAGCACCTCCTGACGAGGCGCCCTATTGCTCTCGGAAAATTCTAGACGATCGGTACCGAGGGTGACATGCATCGGAGACAACCTGGACCCATATAACGACAGAAATTTCCCCCCGACCCGAGGATCGGTGAGCGTAAATGCACCCGTACGAGTGGGGATGCCGACGCGCGGGGGGTGCAGATACACGTCGAAGTTGACTTGCGCACCAAAGAGGTGCGCGCTGTGAAGGTGCCCAGCTAGCACCATCTTGACTTGGTGCTTATCATAACTGAGAGGGATGTTGCGCATGAATATTTCCATGGCTATGAACGGGGAATATGATTTCAATCGGGTTGTAGTAGCGACGGGGATTCGGTGGGAAGGTCCTGGCCAGGTCCAAAGCCGGTATCAGAAGCTGGGGTATAGACTTTATATGTGAGCTTTGCCTGGTGCCGTGAATGGTGCTGAGGTGATTGCGGGGCCCGAACGAAAACCCCTTCTTTCATTTGCAACCGGAATCAGCTGATAGCCATGAGAACTGTGGAGGCTTGTTTAGCACGTTCAGGATCCCTTGAGTACTTGACTACGCATGTGACGTATATTCGAGAAAGAAGAAGCTCCTCTACTTGGCAGATAGACAGAGAGATGAAAATATGAGGACAAACCGGGT